GCCTGACCATTTTTTCTTCGAAGTTGCACCTATATTGCTTATATTTTATGCTTTTTGTAGACGTTGGTTCCTATGAAAAATGAGAAATTTTTTTTTAAAGTTTTCCAAATAATACAATTTGGTAAGTTTTTTTTCCGTTTCTTCCCCACTAGAGTTGTTTCGTGATGCATATTTTAAGCTTTTTTAAACACCAATACATCAGCAATTTGATTTAATTTCATGATTGAAACGGAATTTTTTATTTTTCATCTAATGCGTGAACCTTTCCACTCATGTGAAATGATATCTATGAAACTTTTGTTTCGTAGTAAAACTTTGTGTTCAGATGAACCAAAGTGCTCAAGAGATCTCTTTCCTAGAGATTTTCTTATTGACAGAAAAAACTAACCCATAAGATACAATACGAATATAAGTTTGAATTGACAAAATTTCGGCAAAATAAACAATTATAATCAATTTAATTGAATATAATCGATTATTTTTTTTCTCTTTTTCGATACAATTATAATCGATTATATTTGATAGTAATCCATTATTTTTACTATATTTTCTAGTTCTTTAGTTTTGCAAAAAAATCAATTTTAGTCGATTATAATTGATTGTAATTCTTTTTGTTTGTCCATTTTTTCTTCGAAGTTGTATTTAACTTGCTTATATTTTATGCTTTTTGTGACATTGGTTCCTTTGAAAAACAAGAAATTATTATTGAAGTTCTCCAATTAATTCAAATTGATGAGTCTTTTTTCATATCTTTCCCCATTAGAGTTGTTTTGTGATGCATATTTTAAGATTTTTTACACGCCAAAACATCAGCAAATCGATTTAGTTTCACGATTGAATCGGAAGAATTATTTTTCATCTACGGCGGGAACCTTTCCACTCATGTGAAAGGATCTATATGAAACTTTTTTTCGTGGTAAAATTTTGTGTTCAGATGAACCAAAGTGTTCAAAAGCTCTCTCTTTTAGAGATTTACTTATTGACACAAAAATAATAACCCATAAGGTTTAATTCGAATATAGATTTGAATTGACAATATTTCGGCAAAAAAAGAGATTAAAAACGACTATAATCGATTATAATCAATTATTTATTCGTCTGTTTTTCGATACAATTATAATTGACTGTAATTGATTATGATCCATTATTTTTATTAAAATTTCTAGTTCTTTAGTTTTGCAAAAAAATCAATTTTAGTCGATTATAATTGATTGTAATTCTTTTTGTTTGTCCATTTTTTCTTCGAAGTTGTATTTAACTTGCTTATATTTTATGCTTTTTGTGACACTGGTTCCTTTGAAAAACAAGAAATTATTATTGAAGTTCTCCAATTAATTCAAATTGATGAGTCTTTTTTCATATCTTTCCCCATTAGAGTTGTTTTGTGATGCATATTTTAAGATTTTTTACACGCCAAAACATCAGCAAATCGATTTAGTTTCACGATTGAATCGGAAGAATTATTTTTCATCTACGGCGGGAACCTTTCCACTCATGTGAAAGGATCTATATGAAACTTTTTTTCGTGGTAAAATTTTGTGTTCAGATGAACCAAAGTGTTCAAAAGCTCTCTCTTTTAGAGATTTACTTATTGACACAAAAATAATAACCCATAAGGTTTAATTCGAATATAGATTTGAATTGACAATATTTCGGCAAAAAAAGAGATTAAAAACGACTATAATCGATTATAATCAATTATTTATTCGTCTGTTTTTCGATACAATTATAATTGACTGTAATTGATTATGATCCATTATTTTTATTAAAATTTCTAGTTCTTTAGTTTTGCAAAAAAATCAATTTTAGTCGATTATAATTGATTGTAATTCTTTTTGTTTGTCCTTTTTTTCATCGAAGTTGTATCTAAATTGCTTATTTTATTATGCTTTTTGTAGACGTTGGTTCTTATGAAAAATGAGAAAAACATTTTTAAAGTTTTCCAATTAATTAAATTGAAAAATTTTTTTCATATCTTCCCCTATAGAATTTTTGTGATGCATATTTTAAGTTGTTTTAAACAGCAAAACATCAGTAAATTGATATAGTTTCTTGATTGAATCGGGAGATTTGTTTTTCATCTACGGCGGGAACCTTTCCACTCATTTGAAAGGATCTGTATGAAACTTTTGTTTCGCGGTAAAACTTTGTGTTCAGATGAACCAAAGTGTTCAAGAGATCTCTCTTTTAGAGATTTTCTTATTGACACAAAAATAATAACCCATGAGATATAATTCGAACATAGTTTTGAATTGACAAAATTTCGGCAAAATAAGAGATTATAATCGATTATAATCAATTATAATTAATTTTAAGGGTTTTTTGTAAGAACTATAATCACTTATAATCAATTATAAGAAATTATAATCTCTTGAAATTATATCACAGTTTTAATCAATTGTAAATCCTTTAAACAGCTAATTTTGGTAATTTTAGTCAATTATAATTGTCAAAAAATCATCATAATAATCCGTTATAATCGATTACTTACGCCTAAACTTGGATGCAGGAAACTATATACTTTTACAGGAGTACCTTCATAATCGTTGAAAAATTAACTCGGCCAAATTAATCGTCAAACTTAAATCATGTACAGACTGTGCTCGTTTTTTGATAGACAAAAAAAAATGTGCTTCAAGGAAAAAGTTCAATGAAGAGTTTGAACTGATTTGAAAACTGCTAAATTAGTTTTCAAATATGAAATAAAACTTAACTTCTTGATAAATTGATTGCTTGAGAATTACAAATTAAAGCAAATATCACTCAAGCAATTGCATTCTATTGAGATACAATTTTTGTTCTTATAAAAAATTTAAGATATGGGTGAGCTTCCAACTTGTTCCGACGCGTTCTAATTTGGCCACTAATTTTGACCAGTTTGATTTGCTGATGACTTTATTTTTTTTTTGTTTTTTTACACAATACTCATTACAAATGGAGCAAAAATTTTGACTAAAAACTTCTGTTGCCAATTTGTCAAAGAGATGATATAAATTTCAAGAAAAGAATGGCCTATGGTGTTTTGTTTTGAAGGGTAGCAAAAGAAAGCGTATAAGCGCACAGTGTAGACTTTAATAGGACTGATAGTCAAGGATTTTTCAAAAATTGCAATTCTGGTCAAACTCGCAAATAATATGCGCGGACCTTCTACCCGGGTCGAGGTGCTCATCTTACTCTACCCTGGCCGAGGCGCTCGTTTCGAGTTTCGAAGTCGAGCACATGTCAGTGCTCGACCAAAAAACATATAGTCAAGACAGGTGTTTGGGTCGAGCACAAGTTCGAATCATACACGTAACAAGCTCGAAACAGTTCGAGCACAAGTTTGCACGGTGGAACCATACCTTGCTCACGGTCGAAACATATCAATTGTCTTGTGGTAATTTACAGTCAAACAGAACATTTTCTTTCAAATATCAACTTGTTTTTTTAAATATTTTTGACTCAAACTGCAAACCAGTATTCCAAAAGATGAAAAAAGTTAGCTCGGAAATAGTTTATCTTCACAAAGCATTTTAAAGTGCAATTAAGTCTAATAATTTTTTTCTGATAAAAAAACATCATATCATTGTACCCCAAAATGATATTGTTTGAAGGTCGAACCATGCCCGAATTCGGTCGAGAACGGTCGAAAAATATCTTGCTTGGATCGAGCATGGTCGAGCACATTTGTGTTGGTCGAGCACTGTCGAAACATACCTAATTTCGGTGGAGCAAGTCCGAAACGTATAATATTTTAGTCGAGACTGTCGAACCATACGGATTTTAGGTTGAGACGGTCGAAACATTAAGTGAGCACCTTGTGCGGGTAGGTTTGTTATCACGTGTAACAAGGACAAATCTAAATTAAAGTGAATCACACCCAAGTGACTTTTTGATTGAACTATTAAATCGAAAATTTTTTAGACACCTTGAATGCCGCTCTGCTTTAAACAGCTATTATTTATCTTGACAGTTATATGAAAGTCGTACGTAACCAACACACTACGGTGAGAGGTGGTGAAGTGGTTATGTCTCCGCCTCTCAATCGAAACGTCGGATGATCGAGGCCCACCATGCTCTGTTCTCGTTGCTTGAGAAAAGTCGGGTGCAACATTAACCAGTCCAGAAAAATAACCAAAAAATCTCTGCATGTAGTTTTTAAGCAGGGGCACAACAGACAGCGGCGGCTCGCCGTCGTGAGCTGCAGAGCTCCTATGTTGGTCATTTCCCTCGTGGATAAATGGTCTTAGAAATAAAGACTGATATGAATCATTTGGGGCATTTAGAAAAAACAACAGTTAGAGTTCTATCTAAGTTTCAGTCAATTTACTTGAATTTTTCTATCTTAAAGTGAGAACGGTCTGTGTTTACATCATCAAAAAAGTATCTATATGACAAACACTCTTTTTGGTTTAATGGTGTTCAATCTGTTTCACAAATACATATGATCCCATTCAATTAAATACTGATTTAAAGTTATACAAACTTATTAGAAAAACTTTTTTTGAAGTGTTTCTGAGACAAAAACATCAAAAGAAAAAATTGAGTATCATACAATTCTCAAATGGAAATTGTATGATAAGCATTTTTTTTGTATCAAATTGTATGATAAGCAGTTTTTTGTATGGAGGTCAATCTGGGGATGCTGCGATAATTTTTTCGGCCTATGGTGTCTTGAAAAGTTTTCATAGTAGGTAGAAATTTCAATTTCATTGAAAAAATGCTGAATTTGAAAAAATGCAGGTCATTCCATTCCCGTGTATCGTTATTTATTTTCATTATGGAAGAATGCTAGTCATACAATTCTAATATGTGAGAACTGTATGACTAGCATTTTCTCATAGAAGAATTGTATGAGAATTGTATGACTAGGATTTTTGGTGTATGGATTTATATTTCTGAAGATCCGTGTTTATTTCTGGATTAAAATGATAGTTTTGTTAACAGTTCTTTTTAAGAATTATATGGGGTTTGGGTGCCTGCTTTGCTTATTCTATTTGGCCTGCTCTTATTGAACTTACAGGTCGACGGCCGAAAAAAGAGCTACATGACAACGTGTCTTCGTAATAGGTTGCGGATTGTCGAAATGTCACCGCATATTCCCTTTCTGCTCGGAGCTTACTGCGGTAACTGCAGTGTTGCTGGTGATCTCTCGCTGAGCTTCCGCGGGAATCCATAGGCGCCGAGTATTGTGACGTAACCTGGCCACTAGAGTGCAATATCTACTGTATCTGTAATAATTCCAAAAGTGATTTGTATCAAATCTGTTTCAGGTCGCAAAGAGGATAAGAAGTGATTTGAACAATATGCATTAATGAACTTTCACTCACTGCGAACTATATGGCAGAGTAAAACGAAGGGTTCTTCTATATCTCTGAGAAAATATGGCAGATTGCATCTATTCTTCTGAGACTAGTCACGCGAAGCAATTTGAGCCTTGTTTGATAAACATGCCATATTTCGACTTTCGAAAGGCTTTGTTTGTAAATGATGTAATAATGGTACAATGGTCACTCGGTTTCTGTTGACAACCAATGACCCTCCTTATTTATAAAGGTCAAGTTGCACCATGTCGACACCATAACTTATATACCGTCAAACCCTCAATGGCCCTGTTCGATAGAAGAAGACCTTGAAGCCTAGACTTTTGAGCAACCTGTTTGCAAGCACCGCGTGGAAATTGTGAATTAAGTTTATTTCTAGTTTCTTGTTCTATTGAAGTTCATACTGAATTCCACGAGGCGTTAAATTGGTACGTGATTTCCTGGGTTGTTTCTTGTTGAAATAAACCACACTGGAGTGGAAAATTAGAAACATGTAGACTTAGAGTTCTGTAAAAGTAGTTGGTCATTCATTTCCTTTCAACTCTTTGATTTCACCAGGCCAAAATTTGATCTTGAACAGACAGTGAAATCAATTTGTGCTGAATCTGACAAATAAAGATTTCGCATTGGAAAACAAACTCAATGCAAAAAGATTCAACTTATGTGCTGTGCTGATAAGGTATGCAAAACGAAAAGCAAAACCACATGGATGCATAATTGATGAAACAAGGATATGAAAAATAGACTTCAGGCGTTTATGTTTGTTTATTCTTTCTTATCGTGGAAAAAGCTGCCTGCATTATGGATTAATTGGGAATTTCATGCAAAAATTTTAGTCATGAAATTGGAAATTGCGCGCAAATGGAATGGCATCAGTGAGCTATAATATTGCCAATGGTACCACTCTAACATGGTGTGCACGGCTGAGTTTCTCCATAACTAATCAGAAGGAGAAGGAATTAGTCTTTCAGCTACCACATTATCTTTTGCGTCTTTTTTTCATGCTCTGCTTCAAAATGCAAAATGGTCGAGCCAGGAAGTCATAGTTCGGCCCAAATTAATGATCGCACTGGTCCTATGGACGAACTGAAAGTTGAAACACCAAAACACGCAAATATATGTTGGGTCGAACTTGGTAGAAAAAGAGGCGTTTTTGTAGATAAAATATCAGTTAATTTGGCTCAGCAAAAGTACATAATAATGGTTTAAAAAATTTGACCCTTCACACTGTAAAGACAAAATGAGTAAAAAACTATATACTATTTCATACTTTAAAACACTTCCGTTATATGTTCGTTTTCGAGCAAGATACAGGATTGTCGAAATGGACAATTGGGCAAAAAGGCCGGCTTTAGCAATCTTTAATATTATTGTTTATGTACATAATGCGGAGATGGCGTGTTGATCTGCGCACTTAATGAGTTATGACCGATGTGGTTAACTCATAGAGTAATTTCGGATAGGGTACACCGTCTGCTCGTCACGCTATCTTATTTTCGGCCGGACAGATTCGTGCTACTTCTTAGTCTAATACCGATCCTAATCTTACTCTTATACTATCTAGTCTCAGGGTGTTTAACTAGTCTCTGCTAGGCTCAATAGATCTAGAGTATACTGGCTTATTGCAACTGCTGAAGTTCTCTTGGAGAGGCAACTAAGTTCTAAGTTAAATTCAAATCTCTCTGGTGCTGAAATTACAAGTAATTTCAGCACTTACAAATAAGTGGGTTGTTAGTTAGATGGATTATGATTGGTTAATATTAAATATTTTACAGTGGTAAAATATCCAATTTATCCAATTATAAAATGTAGTTTAGATCAGGTTCCATTAAGTTATTGCGACTTCAGGCAAGCTTATTTAAAAAAATGATATATAGATGTGATGTGTTTACATATTCATTTTTTGAAATTTCATTACATCTATAAGTATTGCAGGGTATCTATAGATATGCAAAAAAAAATTGCGGAACTTACTCCTATGAATGGTCAAACCAAAGAATGTCGATCAAAAAATCAGAGACTCATGGTCATAAGTTTATCATTAGATTCGATGACAGTTTCGAGGCAATGCTAGTTTTATTGCTTCAAAATGTATAAACTTACCCGAGTCATTGCCCGTCAAGTTGGTGCGATATGTTTTTCTTCCATTTTCCTTTTCTATTAGAGACCGATTACCAGAATAAATAATTTTTTTCAACAGGAAACGTATGAAAACAGTAATAGCCTTTGGGTCTAGAATGGATTTTGCACGCAAAAGGAAAACAAGTGAAATTACCAACTAACTATGCGCTTCATCGTTGTTTCTTTTTTCAATATTAGGGCAAAAATGTAAATCAGACCTTTGAAGGATAGTTGTATAAATACAACACATTAACACGGTATGCGACGGGTGTGGGGCTAAAACGGCATCACAGTAGACTATGGCTAAGAAACAGTACATCGATTTAAGCAGGGAGGTAAGAATGATAATAGCAGTATTTTTGTCCATCGGCACAGGAAAAAGTGCAACATACCTTCCTGTATTTAAAGCCTCTACACATCAATCTTCATAATGAGAAGCGGTCGGAAAAAATCGATCGGCTTTTTTCGATTAACATGACTGCGCGAAAAAAGATGCTATGCATTGTGCAGACTAAAACAGCTCTGCCAGGTTTGATAGTGGATGTGATGTTGGCTATATATATTAAATCGCATAAAAAATCCTCTGAATTGAAAGGCTACGACAAACAAGACTGCTTGTATCAGGGGCGGATTTGTGGCTTGGGGGATTAGACCGCAGGGATTCGAACCCCTGCGGACCCAAAGGGTTTCCCCCTTTGTATTATTTGAGATATCCATTTTTGGCTGACCTGACCCCCTTACGTTTTTCTAAAGGCGCCTTTTGCGCTAATATATACTAAGTTTTGAGGGGAGTGCGCTTTTTTGGCCTGTTTTTTTTTCAAAATTTTGCGTACGGCGCAGAAGTTTTGGCCAAAACACGGTCTTTTTAGTGCTTTGGGAGAGCTCGGAAAAACATTTTGGCCTAACTAAAAAAGAAAGTCGACAAAATTTTCGAAGAATTTTTGAAAATCCGTCCCTCGAAAAAACCCTAGATCCGCCCCTGCTTGCATTATGTTATTATGGTATCTATCTAAAGCTCGATCCAAAATCTCTTTGCAATTTTTCTACAAAAAGGTCAAAACTTCAATAGTTCCTAAGCTCAACATTTAGCAAGTTATTTCCCTGCAATTTTTTTTAAACGATCGTGGATTGAAATTTTACAATATGGGTTGTCTAATCATATGAAAAAAAAATTAACAAACTCTTTTTATCGTATGATACAGTGGAATCGTACTTGAATGTGAACATGGAAATCAGGTTCACATGCAAAATTTTTGAAAGTTTGCATATAGCCAAGTATTTAATATACCAAATAGCATGCCTCATTTCAATTTGGATCAATTTCTAATACGGATTTCAACTCCACTTACGCGGTAATAGCACAAAATATATCGCGCGTTAATTATGTCAAATTGGGTCCATTGACAATCTTTAAACCCCCATAAAAATTACGAGAAATGTTCACTGGTGACACATATTTTTAATTTGAGGACAACCAAAATTTTTGAATGAAACAAAAAAAATTTCCCCAAAAATTGCTAGATAAAAAGTCGAATTTTATCAGAAGAAAACAACCACACCGAGCACAAATAATCTGTCTGTTTTTTAGAAACAAGTATACAAGTTTTTAGGTTTTCAGCTTTGGGTTGTATTGATTTTTACTGGCTCACCCTTGTTTGCGCATTTATATTTTCAATCTTCCCCTCCTGAGTTGATTCTTCGTACTCTCCTGTATACGGAGTTTTTGATTGCTTAGCACACCGGCGTTTTGTCTTTGTTTTCTTATGTTGCCTCTACTCTTCTTTGTTCCCAGGAAAATTTGAAAACATTTTTCAAAGTTTCCTGGGATTGAAGAAGAATCGTGGCAACGAAAAAAAGCAATGTCAAAACGCCGAGGTGCAAAAAAAAATCAAAAAGAAAAATAAACAATCGGACAAATGAACAAAAAAGGAGCTTTGTCGTAGATGTGTTTAAACGCCTCTACGACAAAGCTCCTCTTTTGTTTGTTTGTCCATTTTTCAAAATTTCATGGGAATGCGACGGAGGCGTTGTTGTTCCGACCATTGAAAATGGGGAGGAACTTTGTATTCGGGTGCGTTTCAAACTTCTGATTTTTACAGAAGTATATGCAAAAAATCAGAATTTTTTTTTGAAAAAACTCCCCGTAAAAAAACAGAAAAATAAACACTAGAAATTGTCAATTTTTTCTAGGTTGTTAGTTCGCTAAAGAACTACGGTCAAAGTCTTCAGTAATTTGTTTGCGCGACCAGCTATATTTTTTGTTCGGACTGTTGAAGTAGGGGAGAAACTTCGTATTCGGTTAAATTTTAAGTTTTTTCTTTTTGTTTTCCACGCAAAATCAGGTAACACTTATGATCATCGGACTGGATTGAGTGATATATCAAAGTAAAGCCCTTTCAGTCTCAGATCGAACCACATCCCACACCAAACTTTTTCTCAGTGTCGAGAAAAACCGGTTTGAAAGTTTTGACTTTTCGTCATATTTCGAGCGACGAAAACCAGCGAGCAGGCTTTTTTATGCTTAATTTAGGCCATTTACAATGGTTTAGTTATGCTCAATAATGATGATACTTGAGTAAATCAGTTTTTGGAGATTTTTATGCCGTTTTTGTTAATCAAAAATTTCAAAAATTCAAAAAAAAATTCTGCAAAAAAAATTAAAGAAAATTTGTTTTTTTTTGTTTGTCTAGTCATTTTTCTTCAAAAACTGTTGTTCGGTATGACTGTCCAATATGCCTGAATTATAGTTTCATGTCAGATCTTTTTATCACACCACGCAGAAAAAGCTACTTTATTTAAAAAAAATAAAACTTTTTGTGGTAGATTTTTAAGGACTATTGTCGGAACATTCTGTTCTACTTGCACAGTAACCGGCTATCCTTGTCTTCTTCTGTTATATTTTTTTGATGTTTTGGCCTTCATCACAATTGCTCGGACTAGTTTATTGCTTGATGGCGCAAGAGCGGAACAAAATCCCGGACATGGTACTCAACATCCATAGCGGACTCGGACTATTGTGTATTGACGATATGGGGAAGCCTTCTTACGGTTTACATTAGTATGTCTGGTTTCTCCTTTCTGTCAAGGCGTCTTCGCTACCTACGGTGTTTCTGGCAAGTTTGGTTTTGCACACTTTGTAATCTACAATTTTGCTGGTTTCAGAACATTTCCGGGTTATTTAGTTTCCTGGTGAAATATTGAGTATTTTACCGTCCGTTGTTCTGTTTCGTTGTTCGAAAGGGTATTTTGGTTTAATTGTAACTTAAATTTTTTTCCGTAAATTTTTTCAGAACTTTCTTATATACTTAGTAGTGACCGTTTCTGTGTCTGTCTTAGTTTTGCCATTTATTTGTTGGATTTCGATATTTACATTAGAAAATCTTGGACCACCGTTTTTTTTTCATTTTCTGTATTCGAGCTTCATTTTTGGTTTGTGCGGTGCCCTCGTACACAGAGTATTGATAAACCATTTTGACCTTCTTGTTCGAATAGATGTCCATGTCATGAATCTGCTCTGGTGTTACCGCCTCCCTCGTTAGAAGACAATTGGACTTTATACAAGGAAACAGTTTTAGCTTTAATTGTTGTGGCTATG